AAAAAGCAAAAAATAACTATTTATTAGTTCTGATAGGTTACCCACCCACTGATAGAAGTCGGCACCATAACTCATTACACACAAGTCATTAGTTGCCGCTACTATTTTCGAAAGTTGCCCTCGGTTTCCCTAGGATTCCATCATCAGATCCTGACCCCATGGAAATGGGACCATCTCGGGGGTATACCCTTTCAAACAAAACAAGAATTTTGGAAATCGAATCGAAAAAAAACATTGAGCCGAACACAGTACCTCCTCCTTTTTTTGAAGTCGGTAAAAAGAATTATTCCATTCAAACCAGTTATTCTGGAGATTAGTGCGTTCAAACAAATATACTCTTCATCTTTATATCATAACATAACATAACATCACGCCTTATATCCCCGTAGGTAGAGGTGCACACAGAAGTAACACACACTTTTCATAACTATTTATGTTATGAGTCCCATGTAAAAGGGGGTGAGCCTATTGCCATATAACAGGCACAATTCCAGACGCCGTGCTACTACTGAGATATTTTTAAAAACCCTGTATATTTTTGCCCGACCCGGGAATCGATCCCGAGACCCCTTGCTCGACAGTCGAACTTGCGACCACTCGGCCAACAAGGCAGTCGTCTTCATATCATATCCTTTATCACCATCTTATATCACAATCATAAAAAATAAAGTTAATCTGATAGGAAAGGTATAAGATTCTTAAGAATAATAAAACATGAACTCGTTTGCACACTACAATTTTATTCAGTGTGACATATATCACCGTCAAATCAGGCCCGGAACAATAATTTGTAAATTACACAAAAAACTGTTCCATACGAAAATCGAACTCGCGATACATTGCACAGCAGTCAGTTGTCGAACCACTACACTAATTGTGCTGTCATTACACCCATTTGTCATTGTTACAACCCACTAATGGCACAATTAGAGGTCATTTAATTACAAAAGCATTTCGTGGCGGCCATTTTGCGACGATTACATAGTTCACTGTAATTCAGCCATTCAAGGTATTATCGAGTTTCTATTAAAAAGTTTTCAATTAAATTTCAGTCAACGTTCTTTGGACTTTGAGTTTGTAACTCATGAAACAAAGTTAATTTGCTGAGCTCAGAAACATGATTTCTATAATTATATTATTAATATCCGAAACCTTGGACAAAAGTCGAAAGTTAGAAAATTAATACCGACATTATGTTTTGTCAGTTCATCTGTTATTCTTATAGGTGGGTGTGTAATTCGTAGATTAAATAGAATTACGTCATTGTAGACACAATTATAGAACAGTAGGTTGCGGTCACCGGTGACCGCTTGGTGTTTGACAGTTTAAGTGTTAAACAAAATAATAAAGTTCAATTTGACCTGCGTTTGATTGAACACGGACACTGGAACCACCCTGTCATTTTACAGGGTCAAAGTCAAAGTCATTTATTTCAATTAGACCGGAAAGGCACTTTTGAACGTCAACAATAAAAAGGGCATCATCCAAACCCAATTTGATTCTGGATTGAATCTCGACCATCGGTTTCAGTACTTTATTACAATTCTATTAAACATATGTCTGAAATGGTCTTATTTTAGTCTTTCACTCAATGGAGGCTCAAAATTCCTTTTAAAATTATTTTACTTTATTTTAAAGAACACCAAAAAATATAACTCTAGTAGCAAACTTTCGTTCAAGCTGAATTAGTTGGTTTCTAATTATTTCGACTATATGACTAAATTAACACTAGCTAATACTACAAACAATTTAATATTGTATGCAGCAAGAACCGCTTACTCTAATTCTCTTAACCAAGTGAGCGTTGACCGAAGCGAATTCGGTCAAGCGGTGTCTAAATAAACCGCTATTTGCAGAGACACAGCTGTTTCACTTAAAACTGCCATGACGGCCTGTTTGTGTGGGAAAATTGACAGATGTGGTTCTCTAGTCTTACAACATAACATAATTTAATGTCATATCTTTTAATTCTTTAAGTGGCTGGTGGTAATGTAGCTGCAAAACGTTACATTTACTGTTCAACATTTATTTATCTATTTGCGTAATAAGAAAGAAAGAAAGAAAGAAGAAAGAAAAAGCATTTATTTGGCACATGGCACACAAACAAAGATTATGAAAAAAAAAAGAAAAATACAAAAAAAATACAAGTACATACTTACACAAATACATAATATCAAAAGGAAACATAAAAGCATAAAGAAAATAGTAAAAATCATCAAAATATAAGAAAATAATGTACATACAAACAAATTAAATACACAAAAAAAAACACCATAATATAAATAATATTATACTGCGTGTGCACATGTCAAAAGGGCCTCCACCTCAGCATATAGTTGAGCATTCCTGCCCAACGCTGATTTTCAGGTGGCACCCTGCAGTGACTCACGGACGGCGGTACCGCCCCTCAATAAGGAAAAGAAAATAGATTTAAATATGAGATTAAATAGATAATATAAATTCTGCAGACTATGTTTGCATATGTGTATGCGTGCGTATGTGTGTGAAAAGTTGTGAGCTAATACGCTAATACGGGGTCAATTTCAAGCTCTATAGAACAAAGAAAAAATCCCAGTTTAAGAACCCAGGAATCGGACACAAGACTCCTTGCTCGGTTTGTGCATTTGTTTCAACTAGAGCAGAGATAGCAGACTTTCTCCAACAATTCAACAGATTTAGAAAACGTTGATTAATAAGAAATAAGCATAAAACCGATACGACCTTCAAACCTTTAAGAAAAAATCGTATTCCTTTTTAAAAGGCCAGCAACGCGCCTGTGACTCCTCTGGTGTTGCGGGTGGGCATGGTCGGCGCTGATCGCTTACTATGTATATAGGTGTAATAGGTGATCCATCTGCCTATTTGCCTCCTACTCGATAAAAAAACAATCAACAATACTATGAATCAATAACCACCTAAAGAGACAAAATTAAAAACGGGTGAACGACTCTGATCCGACCCGGATAACAATTCAGTTACTCGTGTAACAAATTACCCACCATGGTATACCCCGGTTAAATCTTTTGTTTATTATTTCGTTAATTTCTCTCGATTTCTTGGTAAACAAATTTAAACCAACTGATAAAATTATACGAAGCAAACTTTGGGTCGAAAATTCTGACGAATGGTCGAATTTTAATTCACTTTGATCTCGCGCTTTGTATTAATCAAAGTTATTTTACTTGAACTAAAATGGCTCTGTTTCGTGTTAACTTAGTAACAAGAATTGGCATTTTCTTGTAAATAAATATTTGTTGATATTTCATTCATAAATGTAAATATTTGTATGTTAATGGTTCCATTCATGGTTCTATAATATGCGTCTGATGATATCAAATTCCGAGAATCGGTTGAATTCTAATTAGCTTATTCAAAATCAATTTAAATACAGACAGTATTATTCTTCATTTTAACAGTACCTGAATGACTCGGTGTTTTTTTTAATAAACGACATTTTCTGAAATAGAAACTTAGCTGGATCGATTCATCGCCCTTAAAACCTCCAAAAATACAAAATTTTAAGAAAATCGATGGAGCCGTTTCCGATACCGTTTTCGAAACAAGAATTTATCGTTTAAAGGAATTAGATAAAAGGTAATTCATGTTATGTACGTAAGTGCTCTTATGAAAAGAAAAAATAATCAAGGCTTTAACCAATACTAGTCTAAGACGAAATTTATTCTTATCTAACCCGCACACAAGTATATATAACATCTCGTTACTACCGACATCTTCCATATTTACAAAGTAAATAACAATACAACCGACATAGAACTGTCCATACATTCCCTCGTTCCATCTTAAACAGTTTCTCCAACCGACATCATAATAAATTCAAGACAAACATACAGAATTCCCATCTCAATACAATCACACTCAAACAGATTTGAAAATTTTCCAACCAACGGTCGATTTTATTTACTTTACTTTACTATAAATATTGACAGAATACAAAATGTCTTCGGTTATTTTGATCAGTCGTTGAGAGTAAGAAGTAAGTCTCAAGAGTGAAGGGACAACAGCTCATCAATGTATACCAATCTGTCGAATTGATTCAATGGATTTTAGACCCTATTAGTAAGGGTCTAAAGTTTGAAGGCTGTGTACAGCGTGGATCATGGGACAACCCTTTCATCATATCCCCAAGGATTAAGCAGAAGCTGAAGTACTCTTGACGTACTGATGTTGATTAACTCATGGTTTTATAATGAGGCACTAATGTCCCATATTCCCAAAACTCAAACAATAATCTTATGTTACGAAAGTAGTATAGAAATTATTCCCCAATGAAAATTGAGTTTAGACCAAAACTGCATGCGAATATTTTATATTACGCCACAAAAGACCAAGCATAATTTACTGTTATGTCTTCAAAGACATGTCTACTTTCTATTACGGATCTTAGCCAGTGTTTTTATCAGTCACAATACTTTAAACAAATAAACTTGTCTTTAAAAACTAGATTCAAAAGTTATAGTGCCAATGTCGTAATTCTAAAATATTCATCTAAAACACAGACGGAAGTATTTTGCTTCCCGAAAATATCTTCATTGGTTCACCGTACCAACAATGGACATGAAATTTAATGACTACCCAACTTGTTGGAGACAATTGCGTCGAATTTTTATTCGCGAAAAGTCGGGAGCCCTCAAATGTCAACAGCTTTGACTTGTTTTTGGGATTATACTGTTATGGTAACGACGGCGGGTTCCCGCAAAAAATATTTGTTTAAAGCATTGTCAGTGTTGTTTTCTTTCTGATTTCTGGTGAATCTACCCACTGGGGACCCGTTTGTTATAATAAATTGTCAGTTGTGAGGCAGTTGTCAGGATCAAAAGTTAGAATTCTTAGTGTGGAGTTTATTGGGGGACTAGTTATTTTTATCACACTGGTAGAATACACAAATATATTCAAATCCCTAAGGATTAATACAGTAAGGTCTAAAGAAGTAATGATTAGTCTAATAAAATTAGACACTAATATTTATCTCTTGTCCACAGCATCTACCGAAGACAACAGTCGGCATCAAGAAGTGGAACTTCCAAAAATATCCCATGAGGCGTTACTCATGGATCGCCTAGCTCAAGAACATCAAGCGTACCCTCCAGACCTCCTCGCATTCCCTCTCAGAGGGACCCAAGTCTCCCCTGCAGGTGTAACTTCCCAAGAGACAGAAAGTCCAATCAAATCACCAGTTTATGGGGTGACTGCTGTCAATCCAGCCCTCTACAGCAGGTTTCAAGGTCAAAATTTCCAAGGATCGATACCCCTCATCAGTTCGAAAGGCTACGTCACCTTACCAAGGAGGCCTAGAATGGTTCCCGACAATAGTCTTCGTCCACAAGTTTTCTCTACTCTCAATGGAGTGATACCATACTATGACACTTTTAATATGAGGTTCTTCAACCATGGTGGTAACTACTACAGTTTGAACAAGAGTGAGATAGATCTGGGTCCCATAGGGAAGATGCCTTCGTACCCTGATGATGAGGAGCCAGCTCCGTCTCCTGCACCAGGAACTCCCCATGCAACGATACCGAGGAACAGCCTGAGTTCTCCAAATATTCATAATCAGCTGCTGACTCTGCAAGCTATGTCTGCAAACCATTTCATCAAATCGGAACAGAGGCCTTTAAAAGTAACCCTGGCAGAAAACGAGGGTCTACTAAAGAACCGTGATTTTAGATCGGGTTATTCAGTGAATGTTGTTAGTGGAACCTTAGGAAGGTCTAGGACTGCTCCCAAACCACCTCCTAAGCCGCGAAAGAAAAATGCTTCTGAAGTGAAAGAACAGTTTTTAATGAACGCTGGTGAAAATGCCACCCAGGTGTAGTTAACTTGTGATGTATGAACATTTTGTATAAAGATGTCACTATACTTATGGAATCAATCGGATTTGGTTTTGATCTTTTTGTAGATAGACCACGAAACGTAACTTATTTTTATCTATTATTAGCAAAAAGAAATAAGTATCGAAATTCCGGATACTAAATTAATATCAAAAATTTCCTAAACTAAAAAATGCTTGTGAATTAATTATTATATTTTCGGCTTACTCACGTCACTGTTTGACGAAGACCTCGAGTAGTTTCAAGCAATACTAGAGGCTCATATACGTAGCAGCGCGTCGTCTTTCGCAGAATGCTCGAAAGTTGTAATATAAAGATGCTTGTGTTTAGCAGTCCTCTTTGACCATTGAACTAAAAAACCAATCTCCGGTTTATTAAACTAAAATAACAGCCAAATCAGAGTCTATAATTATACTCTGATAATCTTAAACATCCTATAGATAATTAGATGGAACCGCTGATTAATATAGATAGAAAATGAATTCCTCTTAATAGACCAATTAGGAACCTTAATATTGACATTAGAGCCTTAATTATGAATGGAGCAATTCTCTATAATATTTGAAATAATGATTTTAATGATACTGTTAAAGTTCTTGTAATAGTTTTCTCAATAATGGCTCACTCTCGCAGATGTAATTGTGGTCATTTGGAACATCAAAAAGGTATAAAAGTGAATTCTAATGCTTGTAATAACTATGAAGAATATTTAGAGCAGATTTGTGGTTGTATTTAGGTTTGAATTGAGTCTGAAATGTGCTAATTTGACCTCTACTTATTCGTTATGTGAAAATCATTGAATTTTATTCCCGAGTTTTAGTGGTAGTAAAATCGTCCGTTACAGAAGAGGAGGTGACTTTGATTTTGTGTTATATACCGATTTTCAGCAATTGTGATAGCTCATAATTTTCTATCTGTCCTTTTGAGGAACCACATACTTACCATTTTCGCTCAAACCATCTCGAAACATGCAGTTACAATGAGGTGCAATCCGATATCTTTGGATTTTGATATTACTTATTTTAAGACTCGGTCTCGGGTTCGATTCCCGGGTCGGGCAAAGTATTATTGGGTTTTTGAACAATTCTCAGTAGTAGCACGGAGTCTGGAATTGTGCCCGGTATATGACAATAGGCTCACCCCCTGTTACATAGGACTTAAACATAAATAGTGAAAAGGAGGTATTACATTGTACACATAATGCACACCTCTGCCTACCCCTTCGGGGATAAAAGGCGTGATATTGTGTGTTATTTTAAGTTTCCGTCAAAAATCAACATCGATTTTGTGTTGAAATTCGTTATAAACGGTCATGGGATGTCGGAATTATAAAACGCTACGAAAATTTCAGAACCAAATTCAATTGACATTTTGTAGCTAAAATAACGCTATGAAATTAATAACTATTATATAACTTTTACTTTTGTTACCTTCATAAAATTACACTTACCATCATATTATGAGATCCACATTTTAAAAACTATGATGTGAATGTTAAACGATGTTTCTATGAGTTCTATTCTCTGTTTAAGTTATTCATTTAATCAATCCAAATATCCCGGTTTCTATTAACTTCGTTATAGATCTTATTTCCAATGTTTAGAGACTACTTTTGTATGAACAAGTTTAGGGGATGATTTTTGTATAAGTATATTTCTATAGATTTTTTTTATACATTTGATGGGGCGACGTTTGACCACTATCTCGCCTGGTGGTAAGAGATGATGCGGTCTACGATTTATACAATTTAAGTTTTTAAAGTTTATTTACATAAATGTTAGTTTTTTTATTATGCACATTTATTTTAAATGTTAAGTTTAAATTTTAAATTTGAATATTTTATTAGTGGAATCTTTTGAAATGTTAAGTGAAATATAATTATTTTAGTATAAAATACTTTAAATCTATGAAATCTATTTTTCCTTTCTTATAAGTTAACATATGTTATACAGTTTATTCATTATTTATTTTAAGTTATTTGTTAACATAAACGTAACCGTAACATATGTAATAACTAAAATAATGACTATTACTTTTAAATACTGACAATAAGATTGTTTTGACTAGCCATTTTATTTGATAAATTGAATAGTAAGAAATTCGCTTTGCAGGGCTACAAGTTAATATTATTAATCATAATATAATAATGGAATTTAACTTCAGAATATTATATTTTGTAGTTAAATTCCAATTGTGTTATTCCGAGTCTGAATGTGATATGTAAAAAAATTCTATAAACGCATTTGAACACATGAAAAATTCTAATATAGGGACGAACGTTAAAAAATCCTTTTAAACAACAATCTACCGTATTTTCAGTCCAAAACGGTCTAAAATATCGCTCACATAGCATTTATTGTTCTCGATCACGAATCAACAAGCGAAATCACTTTATTTCAACCGGGTTCACTATTTGATTTATTACATGAAAAATTTCAGCCATTTTAATTGAAAAACATACGACGTTACAAATTGAGATTCAATATTAACGTTACGGGTAAATATCGGACGGAAATACTCGGGGTGCGGCGTAAAGTAGACAAATACAGAAGGTTCATAGAAAAAAACTCTGATTTTGTAATCTCATCATATCAACAGACTATAAGTACTAAGTAGCTACTGCTGACCAAAGGCCTCTTCTCACACTGAGAAGGTTTGAGCGTTAATCACCACGCTTGCTCAATGCAAGTTGACGATTTCAAACTTATAATTACAAATTATAAGCCCGGGTTTCCTCACGATGTTTTCCTTCACCGTTTGTCAGTGGTATCTAAATAATCTTAGAAAGTACATATAACTCGGAAAACTTCACGTTGGTACAAGCCGTTGGTAGAGTTTGAACCCGCACCCTCATGAATGAGAAACGGGCGTCTGAAACCTCCGAGCCACGCGACATACGATTTTGTAATGAATTTTCCTAATGGTAAAATAACTTGAAATGATAGACACTGTTGCACATTTACAAAGTAAATACCTATCATTTTCCAACTGCGATATGAATCCCATAGGGGTTTAATCTATTACCATTATACCAGTCTATACATAGACGCATACATCCTCGACTTACCGGGTACCTGACGTGTCATCGTCAGGGTTATAAATTAGTTCACATTTCTATACCTTCTGTATTTTCCTACTGTTTGGTTTAAACTCGCGAGAGCGAGCGTACTTCAAAATGTCAATATTTGAATCATTGAAAATAAGCCTTCGGCTAGATGTGATAGTTCTCCCCAAACCCCTTTTTGCTGGAGTTTCACTTGAAATAAAGTCAAAATCTTGTCAATATTGAGTTTGTCCAATGAGAGAGTAGCTTCTAGGTAATTTGCTCTTCAACGGCAAAGAAGCTTAACTAAACTTACATAGTTTTGAACCTACTTAAAATTAGACACTATTATAATTTTCACCATTTATAATCCACCATGAGTAAGTAAAACTTATGACTGTTTTTCAACCGCCACTAAACCATCTCCTAACGAATAGCTACTTAGCGTGAAGGAGCACCTAAACTAACTCGTCACTTATATTGTTTAGTGTCCCTTATAGGTTGATGAAAAGCAAAATATCAGCTGTTTTAGCTTAGGTGGTTTCTTAAAATTTAAAAGAGGTTGGTAACAACGAATGAACGGATCTTACACATCTTACGGCAGAGGTAACTCCAATCGTTGACGCGTATCGGCGGCATCCGTTGATGCGTCGATGGCATCCGTCGTCATTTCAGCTTCAAAAAACGCTACAATTGCAATTTTTCCTATAGGTCGATTGCTGCCGTCGACGCGTGGACTGTTGCCACCGACACGAGTCGAAGGTTGCCTTTACCATTCGCAACATGCTGTTCATGTATTAGAGCTCTTACTAAAATTACTCTGATTAATAAGAAAAAAAAACTAATGACATATGAAATAGAATCCCTACTTTCCGATTTCAAATATCACACGTCAATTGTTTTCTCAAAACATTAATAATTGCTATCAGACTCAAACCCTCATTAAAGCCACTGAAGCTAAAACAGTAAGCTACTGCAAAGCGGATCATAGACTTACATAATACCTTTAGGCAAGAAGTGACAACCACGAGCGAAGAGACAATAGCTCCGTCAGTTATCATTGCAAAGCGGTATGATTTGACGCAGCCAGTAAATGGAACTCTAAGCTCATCTAGAATTCTCTTTGTTAACTCTGCGGTGTTCCGTTTATGGAATTAAGAATGGAATTATTTAGTGCATGTGTGAATTTTTGCGTTTGCTAGATGGCGCTGGTGTTGTTTAAAGTCAAATCTACATAATAAAAGTTTAATTAATGATTAATATGATTAGCGAACCTTACAGCCGTATTTATTCTTATTGTGCCGAATAAATCTATATTATATTATTATTTTACTATGCACAATAAATTATATTTTAAAGTCAATCTGAGTCAATATATAATACTCACGTAACTGGAGGCTCAACTAATTTCAAGCTCACCAGAGGCCCGTAATAATGATACAATTCTCGGACGGAATTGACTAACAGAGTATGTGTGTAAGCCGTATGTAAAACCTAATTAATTTAATATATTTCAAAATAGTTATAATATAAAAATATCATGTTTATGTTAAGTTAATGCTATTGTTTATAAATTACCTTTAAGTACATTTAACTTAATTTCATTTATTTGGAAACTGTAACCGAGAATAGCTACCTTTTATGTGAATATTGTTCTACCAAAAATATGTACTGAGTGACAAGTTGAGCCAATGTAAACCTTTGTATCAGACAGCTCATCTTGTTTGTTTCTGTTATTTCAATTTCAGCCTTATTTCAATTGTATAACGTTTCTTATAAAAGATCTGATGTTATTTGTCTGTTCATTACTAGTAGTAATTTATTGGTGCTTAAAAAAATAATGAAATGAATTGCGTAAATATAACTATTCTTGCTTTGTTTTGTAGAAAGGTTCTGTAGGGGCACGGAAAGCTGGTGATACCCTTTTGTAAGGCGACGGTTTTATTGATAAGCGGAAGCGAACAGCGACTTAAACTTTGGTAATCACTGTTGAGGTTATCCGTGTTGTATGTTTATTTCTTAGAATTAATATTGTTGGCCGATTGGTCGCAAGTGCGACTGCCGGGCAACGGGTCTGGTTCGATTCCCGGGTCGGGCAAAGTATTACTAGGTTTTTAAAAAATTCTCAATAGTAGCACGGTTTCTGGAAATGTGCCGGGTATATGGCAATAGGCTCACCCCCTAATACATGGGACTCATAATATAAATAGTGAAAAGTGGGTGTTACTTCTGTGTGCATCTCTGCCTACCCCTTCGGGGATAAAAGGCGTGATGTTATGTAATATTGTTGTTTGACAAAATTGTTTGAATAATCATCTTCAAGATTTTTATAGGTTTGAAGATCTTTATAGGGTTCATAAAATCGTTTGGCGATGAGATTTTAAGCTAAACCATAATCTCAATTGCAAACCTTCATTTTTAACTGTTGCAATCAAAGACGCGTCTTAGGTAGTGTGCCCTTTATCAACGCTAACCTTGAATATTTTTTTCTTATCCCACCAGATCAACGATCAAATTCAGTAATACATCAAACGCCTGCTCTAATTCCCCGCTCCCGCTACCTCCTATTACCAAACCACCTCCCTTATCCTTAACACCTTCGTCACATGATAAATGATGTCGTAAGGTGTGAATGACATAATAATGGGATTGTATTTGATGGCTATCATCCCATAAAACTTTGGGAATATCTCACATTTATAAATTGAGGTTCCTGACATTAATATCTTTGGCAAACGGTCTTTATATATAGTTTATCATTTTTATTGTATTAAATGGAAAAAGAAAAAAGGTGGTAGTTTAATCTGACTGAATGTCTTGTTCGTTTTTCTGATGCTTTGAATTGAGTCTTAGGGTGATATATAGCGCCCACAGAGGAAATAAGAATCATTTTTGTTTATAGTATACTATTTTGTGACTCGATTCCAACATTTTTATGTAACAAGTGAAATACTGAATAGTCTCAATGTTAATTATTATTCAATGTTAGCATTATAATATCTAACGCTCACCTATAAACATAAATAAG